GACGATCTACCTCCCCCACCACCACACGCCCCCAAGACGCAGGGCGCCCAGGCTGACAACCCCGCCGGGGATGCCGCGGCCCTTGCCACGTCCTCTTTGAGCCCCCCCTGCTCTTCGGCCAGTCCCTCAGCATCCACACTCCCTTCGGCAACCAGGGCCCCTGCTGCGCTTGCCGACCTGGTCACTCCTATCCATGCAAAGGCTCGATTGCTGTCTCCACTTCCCTCGTTCCTGGGCTATCGGTCCGTCTCGAGTAAGAATTTGATTGCCGGGAGAAAAGGACGATGCGACGAGTGGGAGGATGGGGAGGCAATGTTTATGGAGACGCTGGAGATGTGGCCCATGGATGAGTCTGAAAATGGCGAGGAAACAGAGGAGGAGGAGGAGGAGGAGGAGGAGGGAGGGGCCGAAGAGGAGGAGGAGGAGAAGGGAGGGGCGGAAGAGGAGGAGGAGGGAAGAAAAGGCATGGATGAGGATATTTTTGGGCACTCGCTGGAGCTGCACGAGGAGTGGGAGTCCGGACGGAGGGGAAGGGAGAGGAAGGCGGGAAGATGTGGACTGGGACAAGATAAGGGCAGGGGGGCTGGTCCCCAATCACTGCGCCTGGAGGCCTTGGATGGGGAGGCGAGTGAGAACGAGTTGGGCTGGAGCATGGCCACCACTGTGGACCCGCAGACCACGCGTGACTCTGTCTTTTCCTTCTTTTCGCTGGAAGGGACAGAGGGCGGGCAAGACGGCGGGCACGGCCTTGGCTCGGGAAGAGGAAGTGAAGAAATGCTTGGATGGCAGCACGAAGTGCGCGAGAGGTTTGGCGAGGACTGCACCAACACTCAGGAATCGTGCGGCGAGGGCGAAGAGCTAGAAGAGATGCGGAATGTCGCCCTCTCTTCTCCATGTCTGACGCCGATTTTCTGCCCAGACGAGGCCAAGGTCGCGTCAGGCCTAGGGGCTTCGGCAACGACGACGGCCCCATGAAGAGAGCGATGAAGTATTTAACAGCACTAGGCTATAGATTCTTGATTAGTGTGGATACCCAGTAGAAAACAGATTGACACTTGGTTCTGCAGGGAGCAGACGCATATTTTGGAAAGCAGCCAGCATGTGTTCTCATCGCAGGAAACTTGAAAACTGATTCCAAGACTGAAAATTAGGCTTGCTAGAAAGTATCCTTCCGACAGGGGCAATTCGTGAAAAATAATTGAAAAGAGCTATCTGAACTGTGGAATCCAGTAGCTTCTATAACAATTTGAAAAGTCAGCCGTGAAATGATCATATCGTCTGGAAATGCTGCGAGTGAATTCTTTCACGCTGGTTTTACTCTATCTCACTGAAATGTCGGTTCGATCACCGAGTGGAAAACATTTCACAACAGCATACTGACATCTGATTCTGACCGGCGCATCGTTTGGGAGAGACGTTTTTAGCTGAAAGACGGAAAGGGTGGTATAAAGGGGGGCCGGGAGGTTAATCAACAGTTGAACGCGTGGCTCCCCACCGTCCCCGACGACGAGAGCGATCAGCCACCGTCCTGCAAAGCTGACATAAGTTTACTTTGGTCTCGGTAGGAGTAATTCATTGCAGTAACACCTATATCCTTATGATGCAGTTAAGAGGTATAGCGTGGCGAAAGCACGCGGTGGCTAAGCAAGTAATAAAAACTGCTTGAACGAACGGCAAGGATACATACACCATCCTTCTCGTCCTGTACCACAACATGACACAGGAAAGAGATGCATCTCATGTACTATCTGAATGGGGAAGGCAAACGCGTGTACACGTTAAAAAAGGAAGCTCCAGATGGGCAGATCACGTACTCGGCACACCCAGGTAAGAGACCAAAGCTTTGCCCGAGTAGTGTGCCAATATGGGAGGGAGGTTTTGACACGCCTTCCGTGGTTCTTCGTGCCATTTCCAACTGTCGACAAGTCATAGCCACGAGGAGAGATGATTGGCGGGTGAAGCCTTTCGCGGCTCGTACCATCCCATCCCTCCTGTCTCTCAAGCTGTCATTCCTCCTGACCCCTCCTTCAAATATCCTTCCTCTCGCCCAACAGCTCGCTTTTCCCCGGACGATAAGTTTTCTAAGCAGCGATTGACTTTGAAAAAACGCTTCAATCTTCTTCCAACGCAGCAAGCGGAGCGCGTGCTGTGAGAGGAGTATTCATTGAAAATGGTTTTGGCGGGCGGAGTATGTAAGGGGTGTCATGCGAGGCAGGTCGAGCGCCCAAAGCGTCTATGTGTACAGAACAAATAAATTGAGACATGCAGATACGCTTTGAAATGCTCTTAGCTTCTCTGGTGCAGATCCACTGACTAGGTTCTTCCTTTACTTCGCGTCTTGCTTCCTCCTCGTCAGCTTGGGTCACACCCTCAACGCTTTTACTTTCTATTTATCTTTTCAAGCAACGCTCTTTCCCTGTAAACCTCCCTCACCGTCCTAAATCCATCTTTTGCAAATACCAGGTCCTTAAGCCTCGAGGAAGGGTGCCCACTAGCGGTCTGACTACACATACATTAAAAAAGATGTTTCCATGAAGATTTTACACCTTTACCACTTTAATCCGTTACCTTCACCCGCCAAAATCTCTACGGTTAGTCACTTTCCGGGAACCCTAACCCTAACCGTTACCAAGCTTTTTATTTTTACCTTTCGTGGGGGCCGCACGTCGATGCACTACCATTTTGCTGCAAGACGAGTCGACCGGTCTGGCCATGCACACTGTCACCCCACAGTCCTCACAGCCCCCTTGCTGCGGTCACTATCTGTACAGGACCTCCGCCAAGCTTCTTTTTCCATTCGTGACGTCAAGGCATCTGGTACTTATGTCTGACCAGCTTGCTCGTGACGCCCCCCCGACGAACTTGAAACGCCACCTCCACGTGGTAGAGGCGAGCGTTTTCCACCTGTCGCACCAAGGTCACCGTTCCTTCCACGACGTCCCCGGGAAAGAGCTCCAACCCCACTACTACGTGGAAGACCTGCTGCCCCCAGTGCGTGTACCCCACGTCGGGCGCCGTGCTCAAGGTCGTCGGGTGCGGCAAGGGTTCGATGCCAGGAGCGTTCCCGAAGAAATCCGTGGTGAACCAACCGGCAAAACCACTCACGTACACGGGCTCGTTATTGTCATTGGGGGGGATCACGAATTGGAAGGGAGTTTCGGGCACCCCTTTGATCTCTTCGAAGGTACAGGATTTCAAGTCCAAGCGCCGGATGACGACGGGTTCAGCCACCACCTGCTCCGCCCGTAGCTCCGCCCAGGAGGAGGAGAGGAGGTAGTATTCCTTCTGCTCCTCCTCGTACTGGGCGGTCAACCCGGCCATGTCCAAGTCGTAGAATTCTTTGGTCTGGTGCGAAAAGGTTTGCCAGTCCTCCAGGGCCTGCTGGTATTCTTGCTCCTTGACCTGTCGTTCCCGCTCGTCCTCGATCAGGGCCCAGTACATGGTGGCGTGGGAGGGAAACATGTGCCCGCCCTCCTTTTTCAAGTACTTCTCCCGGACTCGTACCAAAGAGTCGAGCATGCTCTCGCGCAGCAGGAAGTAACCCATCCATTCGCTTACGATGATGTCCACCGACCCTGGCTCCACCTCTTCCATTTCCTCCGCTGAGCCTTGCTGGACTTCCACAATTGCGTCCACGCCATTCTGCGCCACGATCACCCGGGCCATTTTGGCCATGTCTAATTAAAGCACCAGAAGCCACGAAAAGGAGAGGAAAAGAGGTGAGAGAGGCCGTAGGAGAAGGCACAGCTGGCATCGGCTTTCACCACATCCATGCAGTGGTTCAAGTGGAGGGCTAACGTGCCTTCTCCCCTCGAAAAACAGTTCAGTCGCATTACATTCCTCGGCCCATAACTCTCCCCCTTCCATGCTTCCTCTTACCCGTATACTCCACAGCCACAACCCTTTTCGCCCCCGCCTTGGCACTCCACACAGCCAAAACTCCCGTGCCCGTACCCACATCCACGACTGTCTTTCCCTCGAACACCGACGAGTTCTTCATGATTGCTTCGTGGTACGCAAACATCCGCCGATGGTCGGTAAGCATTTGTTTCTGAGACCAATTACAAGGAAAGAGCACATGTGAATATAACACGCCATTTCCTCGAATCTTAAGGAGGGACCTTAATCGAAAGGATGCTTAACATGCATTACCTGATGGTACAAATACGCATATGAGCAGAAATACTCTGCAAAATCCTTAGCCTTTGCCCCTGCGTCGCCCTTCATGATAGTCGAATCGTCTTTCATGCTGCCAATACTTCCCGTCTTCCTCGTCATGTCCTCGATTTCCGAATCGTATTTGCCGCCATTATCCCCATTGCTCGTTCCATTTGGGGCTAAATTTTCCATTCCCCACCTAAGAGATAGGGGAGCGTATGCGCCGGAGAAGACATGTGAATTTTGACGAACAATGCAGTATCTTCCAAGCACGGGAAGTCGCTTCGCCACGCCAAGACCGCAAACCTTAGCTTTTGATGCAAAAAGGGCACACTCAGCCACGCTTGTCAAGTGGACACCTCTTTATTTGTTGAGTGTGCACCGAAACATCAGGGTGATCGGGTCAGAAAGAGCGATGGTGGGCACCATTCAATTCCGCAGACGCGGGAGGTTTGAATATGGGCCGCTACAAGAAAAGGTCGAGGACGAATTTGTGCTCAGCTTCCGACGCATGAAGTCTTTCTCTGCATATGTTAAAGATAAAGTAGACGAAGGCTCCAAAAATTGGCGGGGTTGGCCACAACATCCACGTCGTCATATTTGCGACTTGATTTCATGGCGTAAGTTGTGTGACGCCGATTCATTTCCTTTCACGTACATAAGCTTGCAGTCCGCAGGCTACTTTGAAGGGGGAGGACAGTGAGTCACGGGGCTTTATGTCATTGGTTGTTACACAAGAAACAGTATTGGAAAAAATATAAAAAAGTTAAAAAAGGCCTTCTTCAGTGTTACGTTGTAAATAAAAACCACCTTTCAATCTCAAGCACACATGAACTGTACAGGTACTTTTTCCCATGATATGCTCATCCGCGTAACATTACGCTCAATTCACGGGCATAAAAACTTCTCTCATTGCAGCTTTAGATCCCCAAATTGACCACATGCAGGACGGCCTGAGGAGGACACTTGCTCCGACAGAGCGGACACTCGGGTTGCTCGCTGCACCAGGCCAAGACGCATTTCCAACAAAAGACATGTCCACAGGGTGTAATGGCAGGATTTTTCCGGGTACTCATGCACAGGGCACATTTCTTCTCCTTCCTTTCCTCGATTCCTCCTTCCCGAAAGCTGTCCACCTCCAAGCTGTTACCCCGACTCCGGTATCCGAAGGCGGCGGCGCCTGACGGCACTCGCGTCTCTGTCAGCAGCGTGCGTGTATATGATGTGGAGTGCAATAAACTGCTTCTCTCCCCGGCTTCATCCGGCCTTCCCCGTCCGTCTCTGCCCCGATCGGGGTCGCTTCGTCCTTCTCCGCGTCCTGATTCAGTCTCTGGAGTGGAGGGGGACGACGCGGGGGGGTCGACTACGTGGACTAGAGAGGGGGGAGGGTCCAACCCATCACCCAGTAGATGTTGTTGACGCTCGCCCTCCCGCCGACGATGCTCCTCCCACAGCCGACGCAGGGCCGACATGACGCTCGACGAGGCTCTCAAACCCATCTCCATCAGGATCAAGACACCAATCGCAACGTAGCTCGCCCGGCGCGGGCTGCTTCCTTCTCCTTCTGGCCCTTCCCCCCCCATCTCCCGGGTGAATATGGTTCGCGCGCCCGCCACCCGCATGGCCAGTGTGAAGTAACGGTTGGTCAGGAAGAAGACCATCAGATGCAGGCGATGCAGGGTTCGGAAGAGGGCGTCACGGGGGGAGGGGAGGAGGGAAGCCAGAAAAAGGTAGGGGGGAGAAGAGAGGAGGAGGGAGAGGAGGCGACGAAGACGCTGGAGGCAGCGCTGGAGGAGGGGGGCGGAGGTGGGAGGGTGACCCGGTGGGTGGGAACGAGGAGCTGCAGGAGGCGAAGACAAGCCCCCTTCCCCTCCTTCACCTCTTGCCCTTCCTCCGTCCCCGCCTCTACCGCCCCGCCGCCGCTGACGGACGAGCTGCGCGTAGTCTCCTTGCCAGCCTTCTCGACGGATCACCCGCTCCCAGACGTAGTTGGTCAAAACGGTCCCGAGCACGAACACCACGCTCCTGACCGCGCTCAGCGGGAGGAAAAGTTCCCTTCCTCCTTTCCTCCCCTGCCCATTCACCTGCTCAACGAGCATCAGGCGGCAGTACTCTTGCCCTAAACTCTGCCTTCCTCCCGTGCAGTATGTGAGGGTGTAATACAAAAGATCGCCGACAGATTGCACTTCAGGATCTACTAGCTCCGCCATTCCCGCCCCCAGCACCACTTCCGCCAGCTCCTGTGGGTGATAGGAAAAGACAGGGGACGCGCGGGCACATCGGGCGTTCAGGCAAACAATGCGTATGTTGTTGAGGAGAAGGTGGAGGCCCCGCCCAGGAAGAATACCGGCCTTGCATGGATATGATCGAGAAAGACTCCAAAAATGATGCACGTACCTTTAATTGAGTGTGGATTTGCTTCGCGTAAAACGCATCTTTCTCCCAAGACAGCATGATGTCAGGTCCTGCCGCTAGCGGTAAGTTAAGTTTCCTCCGAAAGCTGGCGAGGTTGCTCGTAGCACTCGAGTGAGTGGAGGCATCAGCGGTAAGTTTATTTTCTTGAGTCGAAGGCGCGGGACTTCTCGTATTCCCATTCTCCATCAGGGTCGGATGGGAAGCGAGCAGAAGAGTTATCGAGCCCTTTGGAGGAGGGATAGAGGAGGGAAGGTAAGGCGATTACGATAGGGACACTAAGAACGTAGGCAAAGACCGTAAACACCCTGGTAAAAGTAACCATGTCGATCAATCCCTCTGACGTGTTAATGGGGCGTCTAAGTGACGTTTATTCAGACATTTACCACACGCCCTTGCTACTCGGTAGGGCTGCTCGCTGGCGATCAGACTCTGCGGCCCAACGTGACATCACGGGCACGCTCTACGATGCACTATACATCTATTACAAGAAAAAGGGAACTCATACGCCACCGCAGAGAACCCTGGTGATATTTCAGAGGAACAAATGCCTCGCGTGGTTAATTGAAAGGTCATTCCTCAACGCCGCAGCTCGAGACGTCTCACTCAGTCGGGAGCTTTCTCAGTACTGAGCATCTATCCCCAGGTCATGGTGTATGCGGCAACTTGTGAAAAGTTCACCTACGATTTTCCAGGGACTCAAGAGATGCAGCTTGCCTGCTTTGTGAGAGGTCAGTAGGCAGGAGCATGCTGCCTTGTCATGATGTCTATCACATCCTTTATTCTGGTTTTGGATGACACGTTACGTCCACCTCGTATTAACGATTCAACAGAGACAAAACAAACACGCTCAATCATCCACGGACCAGATCTACGTATGCGTCTTTTTAATATAGTAATAAAATTGACGTGCACTTTGGCGTAATTTTATCTCGCGCGAACTCTTGTGGCTGCATTAGTTTCCGTAGATCGCTTATTTTCCTGCTCCCGCACTTTATTTATCCAATTTCATGATTTTGGGAAATTACCCCGGGTCCCACAAGCAATTTCTCTACGCTCTCCGCTTTGTCCACGCGTTCTTGAGCCCGCTCCAGCTTCGCAGCAGCCCTCTAAATATCAAGACACCTACAAAGCTACACATGCCCGCTTTCCCCCCCCATCCAGCGACAGGCAGGGTCCACCACCCGAGATGCAAAGTCAGACCATGCACTGCCCCTCCCAGAGCCCCCGCAAGAGAAAACGAGGCCAATAATTTTCCAGACGTCAAGGAATGGGAGGGGAAAGACGGGGAGGGAACTCCAGCGGCTGGGAGGGCGGGGTCGGAGGACGAGTCGGGGGACAGAGGGGGAAGGACCGGCTCCGCGCCGTACAACAATCGGGAGGGCAATGACATGCCCACAAAGGCCCCGCCGTAGGCAGCCAGAGAACCCAAACTGGTGTGGCCATACACACCAACGGTCAGGGCACTGATAAGCCCCACCACGGCCGCGGCCCGCACAGGATCGGCTGCCGCGTTGTCGTCGCTGGCTTCCCGCAAAGCGATCGTGGCCACCGAGCCCAAGGCTCCGTAAAACATGGTCAAGGGTAGGTAGGGGGAGGTCTTTATGAATTGGAGGAGGGCTGGGAGTGACAGGGAAAATCGGGTGGGGGAAGAAAAGGAGAAAGGAGAAGAGCTAGCAGGGACCACGAAGTGCCGCTGTGAGGCAGCGATAAGATTCACAGCCAAAAATGCCGTTGCCCCTAGCCGTCCGCCCAGACCCAAAGCGGCGTTTCGGTAGTGAATGAAGGCTTCGAAGAGGATGGAGGTGCAGACACCTGTGGCCAAAGTCACGGCAAAAGAAGGGAGTAGCAGTGGGGAGGACATGCCCGCAAAGGAGCCACACATCGCGGCCTGGCCCAGGCCCGGAGCAATCAGACTTGCTGCCAAGGTGACAGCGGCCGAGGCGAGGACGGGGCTGGCACACATGGCTTGGTGGGACGTGTGGGAATAGGATGTAAGAAGGCATGCGAGCACCGTGATGCCGACACGTGCGGCTGCAAGTGGGTAGTCCGGAGGGAGAGGTGTCGGATCCCGGGTCTGAGGCCATGCATGACGAGGAAGGAGGAGGGAAGATGATGGTGCAGTGCTTGAGGAAAAGGGTCGGGGAGGATGGAGGTTGCGGAAAATCCCGGGGGAAGGCATGTGGTGGGAAGGGCGGGCAAGGGTGGGGCGCGAAGAAAGAGGCTTAAAGGCACGGATTGAGACGGGCACCAGGAAACATACAAGCCAAGCCTTGAGGTGCCTTATTGCCAAGTGGTTCATGCTGTGCGGGGTTGGGAAATGGCCTGGTTGGACGGGAACATGTCTCAGTTTGTCTGAATTCAAGAAATCTAGCCTTGCATACACTATCATTGGCAGGCATTAATCCCTTCGCAAATCCCGTCGAAACTTATAATGTAAAAACGACTACACGTCACAGTATGTAGGCGACTTCAAACTTCAAAGGCGAGTCTCCCCCTCGTGATTTTCAGGCGGGGCGGATGTCAAGTATGGTGGAAGGATGTGGCAACGATGTGGCTGCATACATCGTCACATGGCAACGTGCACACATCTCACACGTTTGGCCGGATAGACAGATATGTTTGCATGATTGTGGCAAATATGATGTCCCATCGTGAAATTTATCCATGAAAGTGTCGGCTCTCGCTCGCCGTAAGATTCCCCCCAGGGAGGAGATCGAATGACAGGTGTGCAATAAGCGGCATGTCAGCACCCTCCTCAACGCCTGCCCCCCTCTGAAGATCCGGTATTTCAAAATGTACCCTTCGATAGTACAGATTTTCTCGGTATGTTAGTGTGCGCCGTGGTAATGGCTGTGAGGGCCCAAAATGCCCTTGGCTTGGTGATGATGTGGCAGTCGGATGACGACCGCCTATCGGGTTTTGACCCTGTTCAAACCCGGTGCAGGTCAACAGGAAAAGGAGGGATTTTCCATTCCTGCCAGCGTGGGCACAATGTTCGAAGTTGGTGTTAATGTCGAGAATTTCCACATGATACTTGAACGTTTTTCTTGTCACTGACATAGGCGTCGCATTTGAGACACGAACCATGACTCCGCCACCTACTTCAGTGCTCCTGCTCGTCCTCATCGCCCTCGGTGCTGCCACGGCTTTTGTTCCCAGTATGCCTCGCTCAATCACTGTCGCCCCTCATTCGTCGCATGTGACATCAAGCCCAACCCGGTTGCATTTGTGGGGAGGGGGCAAGAAAAAGGATGCGGGAAGTAATCCCACAGCTGGCAAAAATAAAGGTACGCAAACTGGGGCAGGACAGAAGAAGAGAGCTACTCCCATGAAATATGGACAAAATACGCTGGTAGACAAGGATGAGGATGTCATCGTTCCTGCTACGGAATATTTCGCCAATAAAAAAGACATCATCGTCCCAATCTTGTTTGCGGGTCTGTTCGTTCCTATATTTGGCTTGCTCGGGTGGTGGCTGTACGGACCACAGCCAGAGCCCCAGATTGCCTCACCCGACGAGAAGACTTCATACGACGTGTACTTCAAGGATTCAAACAAAATCAAATCTCGAAAGTTTTAAGCACGGTGTGCGATTCGTAAGGTTGAAGATGATTGGCACATGCTTTCGAATACGAATGGATAAGGGCTTAAAGAAGCAGAGACTCTCTGAGTCTGGGAGGAATGGGGACCGACACAGATATGCGTACTTACTGTGATAGTGTACAGATGTTTTTGGAAGTACACGTGCGAGAGGTCTTCTGGCGCAGGGATTTAAAAAATAACGAAAAAGTTTTTTTTCTCTCCTCCCGCGCAATTTTAGCGGTGCTGTGCTCAAAACTCAAGATGATTAGTTGTTTCAGCGAAGGAAATTGCAGTATGACAACCTTCATTTATCATGCGTTGACCTTGGAGAGAACCAA